GGTCAGTGAGGGATCTCTCCCCTGATCCCCGCTGAGCAAGGGGGTGACAGCTCTGTGTCCGCTCTGCTGCTGCAGAGTGGACATAGAGCTGCTTGCTCTCCTCAATGAGCGGTTGGATGAAAACGGACCACTTGTTCGTTTCCATCCAACCCGATCTGATGGACGGAAGGGGAATTGCATCCGCATCCGTCCCTTTTTTGCAGATTGGATTGGATGACAGTGGGTGTCAACGGACACATGTCCGTTGACACCCACCGCTCCTTAGAGGAGAATGGAGGTTCCTCTCGGGTCAGCCTGAAAAATGGGCAGGAGGACCCAATTGGAACATCCATCTGACTGAGGCCTTATACAGGAGGTCTGGTGCTAGAATTATTGCCCTCGGTCTGAAGTTTGCGGAGATACCTCACATGCATGGGACAATCGCTGATTGCACTTGTGTGTGAACGATCTGTGTGTTCACTTTTGCGGTGGAGCATGTGGGGCAGTTTGAGGAACACAATAACGAGTTTGAGGTGTTGACTTGGACTTCAAATTCTCCATCTGTGGAATGTGCTGGAGAAACAAGTAAAGACCCTACCATGCAACTTCAAGGACTTAAGGGATCTTCTCCTGATGGATTGGTGCCAGATGCTGTAGTATTCCTTCTGAGGTCTACTGGAGTCCATGCCTCAAGAGGTGGGAAGTCACAATTTATAGCTGATCGGTGTATGTCCTTGAGATAGCTATGTGTATTGTAGTGAAAACTTACTACAGCTGCTCCCAAAAACTAATTTTTTTATACCAGTTTAGAGCTGCCACGGATGTATACAGTATGTCCTCATACAACTGCAGACCTGACTCCTAAATGTGGAGTAACTAGGGAGCCGCTGCTGTAAAGCTTTAATAAATTCCAGGATGTACATTTTTCTGCAATGGAGGCCTATCAATAGCTATGGTGCATATGAATATGTCAGGGGAGTAACTGCAGGGGACGCAGGGGTCACCATTGCCACCTGTCCCCATGCTCCAGGGGGCCCGTGCGGCTCCCCTCTACACCTGGACTGGAAGGGTGGCATATAAAGCAACCAACGCCTTCCATGTTCCTCCTGCAGCCACTGAATGCCTGCTTCTCTTTCTCTCCCTCCCGCAGGCATTCAGCGGCTGCAGGAGGAACATGGAAGGCGTTGGTTTCTCTATATGCTGCCTCTCCAGTCCAGCTTCCTTCTGCTGCCTGCAGCCCCCACTGCTCTCTCCTGGCCCTCTGTGATCTTTCCCAGCAACTTCTGTGCTCTCTCCCACTGCCCCCACCCTGCTGTTCTCTGGTCCCCCTGTGCTGTTCTCTGGTCCCCCTGTGCTGTTCTCCAGTCCCCCCTATACTGTTCTCCAGTCCCCCCTGTGCTGTTCTTTGGACCCCCGTACTGTTCTCTGCCATATGGAAGAAATATATTTTCTTCCCAAATATATTGACATATACAGTATTTGAAATGCTACAATTTTGGCCATATTCAATATATTTAAAAATATATTTCAGTAAATAAATAAATAAAATGATATATATATATACATACAAACTGCTGTTGAAAATTAAATTTCAAATATACTGTATGTCTTTAAACATACAAACCTACATTTTTGGAATGAATTTACAAATATATGTCAAACTATATGTTAAAATGACTTTTTTTATATGTTAAAAAAATCTGAAGAAGATATTTAAAAAACTGTATTTTTTTAAAAATATTTTTCATATAACTTGTAATATATTAAAAACGCATTTCAACATGCAGTGTGTATATATATATATATATATATATATATAACTATATATATATATATATATATATATATATATATATAAAAATATAATATATATATATATATATACTGTATATATACACTGCATGTTGAAAAGCATTTATATATATATATATTAATAATATTTTTACATATATTTGTAAATGTACTCCAAAAATGTAGATTTGTATTTTAAAGACGTACAGTATATTTGAAATGTATTTTTGAAAATATTTTTGTAATAAAAAAAACGGATTTCAACATGGTGTATATATATATATATATATATATATTTTTTTTTTTTTATTGAAATATATTGAATATGGCCAAAATTGTAGCATTTCAAATATATGTCAATATATTTGGGAAGAATATTTTTAAAATATATTCCAGATATATTTTTCTTTCATGTGGGCTGGTCCTTCTGTGCTGTTCTCTGGTCCCCCTGTGCTGTTCCACAGTCCTCTTTGCTGTTCTCCTGTCCTCCTGTGCTGTCTCCTGACCCCCTCCTCCTGTCTGGATGGAGAGCAAGGAAGGGGCCGGTACATATGTAATTTACCGTCCCCTTTCTTGTCTGAAATGACAGACCGATCACAGTACCCATATGGAAGAGAAATATATTTTCAATATATTTAGAAAAAAAAATTATAAATGCGACATATATTTACAATATATTGGCCTACACAAATATATTTTAACATGTATTCCAAAAATGTAAATTAAAATATATTTTTCATAGGCATATATTTAAAAATATATTTTTCAAAATATATTTTCCAGATATTTTTGAACATCTAAAAAAGGCATTCAAACATAGATTTTTAAATATACTTGTAAATGCATTCCAAATTACACTTTGATATATATTGCAGCATGTGTTCTGAATATATTTTTAAAAATATATTCAGAAATATATTGAAATATATTTTGAAATATATTGAATATGGCCAAAATTGTAGTATTTGAAATATATGTCAATATATTTGGGAAGAATACATTAAGAATGTATTTTTTAAATATATTTAAAACATATTTTTCTTTCATGTGTGACCGATCACTGACTCTGTCCATTCATAACTGAAATGTAGTAAATTGTGTTTACTATGCTTCAGTTTGTGAATACACAGGAAGCCTCTGTACAGAGCTATTCCTGTCCATTTATTCTGTGCAGCTGAGATGGAGATTGAGGGCTGTGTTTTCAATCCCCATTTTCTGCCTGAAAGGTGAAACATCAGAGGTCTGTTTAGACCCCTGATATCCCATCAAAGCCCCACAACAGGGCTCCTACAAAAAATTCTAAAAATAATAAAAAATAATATTGTAAAAATAAAATAAAATGGTAAAAAAATAAGAAAAAAAAATAAAAAACTACTGACACCAGTGGCGGAACTACCTGGGTCGCAAAGGTAGCACTTATGACCGGGCCCTGGTGTTCTGCCACTACGCTCGAATGGGTGCACCAGGGCCCCGAAGGCTCTAGTTAGGCCTCTGAAATATGCTTTATTAACCACTTCCCCTCTGGCCGTTGTATATAACCGGCCGGACGGTGCAGTGCAGGGTCGGGTGGCAGTTTAATATTATTATTATTATTATTATTATTATACAGTATTTATATAGCGCCAAAGGGTATGCTCAGCGCTGTACAGTAGCAGGGGGACATAACATGAGACAATACAGTAACAAAACAGTACACGAGGGGTTCGGGGGCCCTGCTCTTTCAAGTTTACAATCTAGGAGGGAGGGGAAGGTGATACAGGAGGAGATGGCTGTGGGGGATGGAGTGGTGGGAGGAGTGGAGGAGGTTGTTAGGTGAGGTCAGGTGTTAGGTGAGGTTGGAGTAGGCTTCCCTGAAGAGGAGGGTTTTCAGGGTGCGCCTAAAGGTGAGGAGGGTAGGTGACAGTCTGATGGATTTGGGTAGGGAGTTCCAGAGGTTGGGGGAAGCCCTGGAGAAGTCCTGCAATCGGGCGTGGGAGGAGGAGACCAGGGAGCTAGAGAGTAGGAGGTTCTGTGAGGAGCGGAGGGCACGGGTAGGGTAGTATTTGGGTATCAGGTCAGTTATGTAGTTTGGGGCGGCGTTGTGAATGGCTTTGTAGGTTAGGGTTAGCAGTTTGAATTTGATGCGTTGGGCAATCGGGAGCCAGTGAAGGGATTGGCAGAGGGGGGAGGCAGATGTGGAGCGGTTGATGAGGTGGATGAATCTAGCCGCTGAGTTTAGGATCGACTGGAGTGGGGATAGAGTATGTTTGGGTAGGGTAGGCCGGTGAGAAGGGAGTTGCAGTAGTCCAGGCGTGAGATGATGAGGGAGTGTACGAGTTGTTTGGTGGTGTCTGGGGTGAGGAACGTACGTATCTTGGAGATGTTGCAGAGGTGGAGCCTGCAAGATCTAGATAGCCGTTGGATGTGGGGTAGGAAGGAGAGGTGGGAGTCCAGGGTGACACCCAGGACTTTGGCGTGTGGGGTGGGGGAGAGCTTGGTGGCATTGTTAGTAGTGATGGAGAGGATGGGGGGGGGGGCGCGGGGTGGGGGGGGAAGACCAGGAGCTCTGTTTTGGATAGGTTAAGTTTGAGGAAATGGAGGCGACATCCAGTCTGATATGTCGTTTAGGAGGTGGGCGATGCGGGCAGAGAGTGAGGGGGTGAGGTGGGGGGTGGAGAGGTAAATTTGGGTGTTGTAGGCATAGAGGTGGTAATTGAAGCCGTGGGAGTGAATAAGTTTGCCAAGGGAGGAGGTATAGATGGAGAAGAGGAGGGGCCCGAGGACAGAGCCTTGGGGGGACCCCGACAGAGAGGGGGAGGGAGGGGGAGGTTTTAGTGTTGTAGGTGACGCTGAAGGAGCGTTGGGAAAGGTAGGAGGAGAACCAGGAGAGAGCAGCGTCTCTGATGCCAAGGGAGTGCAGTTTGGAAAGGAGGAGAGGGTGGTAAACAGCATTGAAGGCCGCGGAGAGGTCAAGGAGCAGGAGGATAGAATAGTGGCCATTGGCTTTGGCGGTTAGCAGGTCATTGGTGATTTTAAGTAGGGCGGTTTCGGTGGAGTGCAGGGGGCGGAAGCCAGGCGCTCAAGGAGCTTAGAAGTGAAAGGCAGCAGGGAGATGGGTCTAAGGTTGTTAATGGCCTCCTCACACCCTGCTTGTGCGCACTTCCTAGGAGCGCGCAGCACCGCGATCCGGTACCCGCTGTGTCCTCCGGACACAGTGGAACACAGATCGTCAGACGGGACCTCTGTGCAAGGTCCCGATCATGTGATCACTGATTGGCCAATCAGTGATCACATGCAGAGTAGTAAGCAAGATGTCACTTCTGACATCATTGCTTACTACGTGTGAAATCTGTGAAATGATCCAGAGATCACATGGTACAGGGCTATTCACAACAGCCTTGTACCATGTGACAAGCTGTGACCAATCACAGCTCACAC